TTTATTTATGTAAAGGATTCTTGCATTATTAAATTGTAAAATATTATAATGTTTTAAGACCAAACACTCTTTTTAGTTATATATTAGAATAATAATATATCAGTATATTAAATGCAAAAATGTATTTTATTAAGACTATGCTACGAGATTATAAATATACAAATAATACAATGTATTTTTAGTATGTTATAGAAAAAACTAATGCTGTAATGCAAACTGTACCATAATTCTAATAACACCATCGATTAAAGATAACGAAACTGTAGTTCTCGTAGTTTTAATGGAAAGGAGATTAGTAAATGAGAGATATTATTAATATGCGCTAAAAGAAGTTTTTAATGATAAAAATATTACAAAATAAACAAATTCTTTATTATTAAATTATTATAATGAGACGATTAAAATTGTTTTTATAAATGTGTTTATTTTATATACTTATAAATAAGTTTTAACAAATTAAAATACAATTTTCATATTTGCAGCATATTTATTAAATCAGAAAAATAAGAATGGAAAAAATACATACAAGAGGATATATATATCTATTTATTTAAGGTAAATTATATTGTGTGTGTATTATAAATGTGTATTAATAATTATACGAGTGATATTCAATTTTTGCATTTATTTGTATTTATTCAGCTTGTTCTGTTACTGCTTCTGTTACTGCTTCTGTTACTGCTTCTGTTACTACTTCTGTTACAGCTTCGTCTTCTGTATCTGGGTCTAAGTCATGTTCATCATGTTGATCTATTTTATGTATAGCTTCTGCGATGCACACGTACAGAGACCAACCTTTCTCACATTCTTGAGTAATATTTTTCGCTATATTCATAAAAATTTTAAAAATATAATTAAGTAATATTGAAATATATGTATAACATATTCTATGAGACTATTATATTCTAATAGCAAATGTATTGTTCCAAAACTTGCATACTGCACATGGAAGAAGTGTACATAATACATGTTTAGTAACTGTAGTGTTGTGTAGTACTTATATATTTGTAATAATTATAGTATAATAAGATATAGTTTACCTTTTTTTATGCATTTACGCGCAACTTTGTGTGCTATGGCTAGTTCAGGACCGTCATTTCCCTCTTCATTTATTTTTGCATGAACTTGAGCTTCATTAATGTTTGTTCCTTCCATCTAATATTATTAAAGAAAAATTATAAATAGTAGGAAATAGTAAAATATAACATATAATTATTTCGTTCCTTTAAAAAAGCTATACAATTTAAAATGTATTAATTATAAATTAAGCAGCATAATATATTTTTATTAAAAACATATAATAATAATATCACTTTGTGTATTAATTGGTTGTTAAGTACATATAACGTTTTATTAATAGTTATTGCATTATTGGACATTATGTATAAAATATGTAACATATTTGTAAACACTTACTAAATTTTGTTTCTTTAAGATACACGCAACAAAGCAGCCATTTTTTCCTGTTCTCTCTACATTTTCAGGTTTCGTATGTAAGTTATTCATTATTTCTTTTTCATCGTAGAAGTCATCTATAAAATAAAATAAAATAGATCAACATACAGGGAAACGTTTTACAGCTGAAAATTGTTTTTACAAAAATGTTAACTCAATTAAAATATTAAAAAATTGTAAGTAAGACGAATGCCCAATCAAATCAGTTAAAACAGAATTAATTTAAAATTAATCAAAAGAAGAAATGGAAATAAAAAGTTGGCAACGATGTGTGTAATTATAACTTACCACTAGTCATATCATTTTCAATCAAGCAAGCTTCAGCATCATTTTGTATGCTTGATCTAACTGCACTTTTAAGCCGGTTTTTTAGTTCTGATGAGCTTGATGACTGAAACTTATAAAAAATATATAGATTTTTATTTTATTTATTTTATACCTTTTTTAATGTGTATTATTTTAAATAATATTTTTTGTGTAACTCATTAAAATTATTTAAGTAATTTAATAAAACAGTACTTACAGCAAGTATTAAAACACAGACGCAAAGCACAAGACTTTTCATTTTGTACGGATTATATCTCCACTGTACTAAACTCAATTATTCATAGCAACCGTAGCTGCACCGTATATATACTCTTATGCTAAAATATAAAATACGTGGGTCAAAGAATCAAGATCATAGATCATACAAACGTTATATAACTTTAAGGCTGACGTTCCATAAAGCGGATAACGCGGAAACGGAACGAGTGTATCACCAATCACGGGACCGTTTTGACGGAATCTTTGACAGGATTCTATCAGAATGATCCCGTGATACGCTCGTTCCATTCCGCGTAATCCGCTTCATGGGACGCTAGCCTAATGTATAAAGATTATTTACCAAAATTATAATACCTACTTAAATACTATTTTGCAATGTAGTGGATTGGCAAGGATATTGAAATAAGATAAATAGCAAAATAAAATAAAATAAATAATAAGATTATTGTTAAATTTTGTAGATTACAAGTATTTATAATATATGTGTTTGTTATAACTATTTATTTAAAATATTTATTTGTTGTTCTAAAAACTAAATCGTGATTTAAATGAATTGAAGCTTATTTATGTAAAGCGTTTTTGCTTTATTAAATTGTAAAATATTATAATGTTTTAAAAGTAAATATTTTTTTTGGCAAATACTTATTTTATACACTAGAAAATAGTAACATGGTAGTAAATATTTAAATGCAAAAATTTATTTTATTAATGTTATGCTACAAGATTATAAGTATACAAATAGTACAATATACCTTTATTTTTTCTTGGTATTGTTATATAAAGTAAATAAATATAAAATTAAGGATATTTTTATTCTCTCTATTTCTATTTACAGTGTCTTTAATTTATCTATTAAATTACGGGGGGAGACTGAAATAAAAGAAGATGTATTTTCTTATTAAAATTGTATTCTGTTCTTAAAGAATAATTGTTAATTTTTATACATACATATTATACATATATGTAGATATTTAGTTGTATTTAATGGTTACCATCCTCTACATTCAATAGTGAATAGAGTCTGTCTGCAATTTTTACGCCACATTTCATTGCTACAACACCTTTCTTGCATCCTTCTTGCGGAGCATGTTTTACTAAAATATATAAAATGCAATATATTAACAGTTTTATATTAAATCCAATGAAGTTATCAGAAAAGATGCAATGCATCAAACATGTATTATATATATATATATATTATTGTGATATCCCCTACAGCACGAAATATTGCAGCAACTTGCAGCAACATTGCAGCAATATTGCAATATTGCTGCAAGTTGCTGCAATATTTCGTGGCGTAGGGGATATAATATTTATCTGATTCTTTTTTTCTTTAATATTTCATATATAAATATATTTATCTAGATAAAATTATATATAATTATATACATATGTATATGTATATGGAGCGGTAAAAGCCATAGTGGTGTAAGTCAAATTCTTTAAGATATTGACTCGTGTGCATAGATGCAATCTATACAATACAAAAATTGCATTTATGTACACAAATCAGTATTTTAAAAAATTTGAGTTACACTACTATGCTTTTATCCCTCCAAATTTAATGATATTAAATATATTATTAAATAAAAAAATATATTCCTATATCAAAATTACTTTAATTTTAAAAATAATAATAATTTTTTTAACCCTAATGTGTAAAACAAAGATTATTTATTATTTGTGTTTGTTATCTTTTAATTAAATTGTATACTTCGATATTTATAATAAATATAGTAATTTACCTTTTGTAACACAATCACGTATAAATTCTTCTGCTTGGGTTTGCAAGGGATGATCAGCAAATAATTTATTCATATCCGCGTAAAACTTCTCTTCCTTAAGTTCTGACCCTTCCATCTAATATTGATATAAAGAATAATAAATCTTAATTAAGTTTTTAAAAAAATGTTATAAAGACTAATATAGATTACTACTTCTCGCTTGTATAAAAAGCATATAATGCTACGTAAAGATGATAGCTTTTAATTAATAAAATAATTTTAACATTATTAATAAATTCTGGAATATAAAGAAATTATTAAGCTATTAGTAATCTAAGATTTGATTAATATCCGCGCACTTTACATCAAATACTGCAAACGTAATTATATAAAACTTTAGGTTTATCTTTTAAAATCTTACCCAATTCAGTTTTCTTAGGAGGCACTCAATGACACAACCATGCTTTTGTGTTCTTTCTTGAAATTCAGGCTTTTCAATATTATCATTTAAAATATCTCTTAAGTCATAACCATCATCTAGAAAATAAATAACAGCATTAAAAAGGAATACTCATTTACTTATAGTACATATTTTAGGTACTTAAAGGAAAACATTTTTTAAATTAATTAATTTTCTGATAATTTTGCTAGTAAATAAAATGTAATTAAGTTTTACTTATTTTATTGTTTTGCAAGCTTAATTTTTAATATACATGTAGAAAGTGTCAAAGCTCAAGATGGAAGATAACATTTATTTAAGTATCTATTAAGAAAATATTGATTTAAAATTGATCGGACGTAAATGAATAAAATATATTTAGGGTACTTATTGCTTACCATAGTTCATACCAGCTTCAATAAGACAGGAATTTGAAAATCCGTCATTACCGTCTTTACTGTCTAATTGACTTATTATAGTCATAGATGAAGTAAGAGACTAAAACATATTTTACAGTTTTTTTTAAATATTATTATAATTATACTTTTTTTTAACTAATTTTTTACGTGAAAACGTTTTTACGTTGATGATATGTTAATATACATAGTACTTGCTGTTTAAAACTACATATGTAGTATAAGAACTTTTCTATTAAATTACATATAGGACTTCTGCCACTAATTGCTTATATTTTGATTAAATTTTAATAGAGAAAATAATAAATAATATAACTTACAATACATGCTAAAGCGCAGATACAGAGCTCGAAGATTTTCATTTTGCTGATATCGTTCTGTGCGAGGAAATGTTGTTTTGTGGAATCTTTGCGGTTATTGGAAGATGTCGCATTTATACTAATTGCAAATATAAAGTGCATAGGTCAAAGATATAAAATCAACTTAGCATCCGAGAATTGCAATTCTTGGATTGCTTATCATAGTCAATTTATCATATCGTATTTACATGAACTAAGCAAACTGTTTATTTGATTGAAGATAATAAAATCACAGAATTATATAAGATATTATTATTATTATATTAAATGCATGTAAAAATGAAATATATATACATACGTTATATAATTTTATATAAAATATATAAAATGTTAAAGAAAATAAAATATATTACCTATATATATCAGATATATTATATCAATACTTAGACTATTCATTTTTTCTAATAAATTTATTGGATTTAATGTAAGACTATTAATTATAATATATTCATTGCATTTGTATAGATATATTTTAGTAAGAAATCATACTCTGCACAAAAGTTGCTGAAAAGTTATTATAGCTTGAAGTGTGGCGTAAAAGGTGCGTATAGATTGTTCCCTTCTGCAGTACTAATGAATATGAAGAAGATAGAAAGAATGAAGAAAATAAAAATAATTAAATACAATTAAATATCTATACATAATATAGTATAATACTTAATAATTATTCTGTAAGAACATAATACAATTATAATAAAAAAAATAAATCTTCTTTTATCTTAGTCTTGTCTGCAATATAATAAATAAGTTAAGACAGTTAAGTACACTGTAAAGTCTGTCGGTGGCGATCATGGCGCAGAAAGATATGCGCTGGTCTAATGAGCTGAAGATCTGAGTTCAAATACGACCGAAAATTTGTCGGTTTTTATTTGATCGCCACCTTTCGGAAGGGTTAATGGCAATCCGCCGAGAGTGTATCTCTAAGAAACCAGAAGGGAGGCCTTGGATTTTATACAGGCCGAACTTCAGGAGGCCATGGCTTGATCTTGAGCTATAGTGCCATTGAAATAGAAATAGAAATAGAAAGAATAAAAATACTCCTAATTTCATATTTGTTTACTTTATATATCAATATAAAATGTAGCAAAAGTACATTGAATTATTTGTATATTTTTAATCTCGTAGCATAGCCTTAATAAAATAAATTTTTGCATTTAAATACTATCAGACTTTTTCTAGTCTATAAACCAAGGAAAGTGATGTTTGCTCTTAAAACTTATCTTACATTTTAAAATGCAAGAACGTTAAATAAACTTCTAAGTCATTTAAATCAAGATTCATATAAATGACGTAATATTCCACTCATAAAAAAGCCATATAAGAGATTTTATTGTTGACATTTTTCCACGATGTTGATTGGTTCTCTCATTGCCCTGACTTCGTGAGCATCTAGCTGTCATCGCATATTTTAACAGTTTTATGTGTATCAAGTATCAAGAGATTAATAATGTAATAGTAAACATTAAGTCTAGTAAACATTAAAAAATAATTAAGAAGTAATCAGAATATGAATATAATTATATATATATATGTAAGAAAATTGCTTACATAAGTCACATCTTAGCAATTTACATTAGCAACAATGTAAGTTTGTATGAGTGACTTATCATTATATTTTGTACAAGTACTTCATGTTTATGTAATCTATGATCCCGCAACACTAATCTATGTATTTTACACATTCAGACTATACATAGTATAAATACGATGCTGTTAGGCTCTAGTGCGTTATTGTACAAATGCGTTTAACATATTAGTGGAATAATTTTATCAATAAGATGGAGAAGCTTATATTCTATATTTGCACTTTTGTACTAATTGTAAGTATCTTTCTGTAATAAAAATTAAATATTAATAAAAGAATAAAAAATTTCTTAGAAATTCAATAAAAATTTCTTCACAAATTAATTTTAATAAGTTATAATAAATATTAAGGTATATTATTGTTGTACATACATATAATTAATATGTTATAATATCTATATGTATTTATGTATTACGTATGAAAAGGAAACTTAATTAACATAATAAACATTAAGCAAATATTAAGCAAATTAAAATTGTGTATATTTTAGTCTTTTACTATTGGCTCAAAGTTGGGAAGCCGCGAAGTACATTACATTACCTGCTTAACTGAAAATAATGTATCTGATGGTAAGTTGCTATATATTATATATAAACAGATTTTTATTTAATTTGCATACCTCTCTTCTTAATTACAATAAAACAAGAGATATTATATGTTTAATTTTGAGTCAGTTACTTTTTAATAAGAAAAGTATATTATATGTTATTTTCATATAAAAAAGAATTTTATAGAAGATACCTAAAATAAAAATTAACCCTCCATAGTCACACCTATTTTTTCAAACAAGGAAGTCACTCTGGGTCATTTTGACCCGAGACGAACTTTGACCGTTCGCCATTTGACCATTTATCCACCGATCGTGTTGAAAAAATTCTCGAATGCACTTGCGATATTGCTAAATTGATTGCTATAAAAAAGAAGGACCTCAGGAATTTTTAGCATATAAAAAAAATTCGCAAAAAATTTGTTTTAAAAAAAAATTTTTTTTTCAACTACAGCTAGAGAGCGTCATGCTCGCCAATTTTCAAGTTATGCGCAAGATATTTACGAGCAAAGTTGAGGCTCGGGTCAAATTGACCCGGTGTGACTACGGAGGATTAAATAAAGAGCTTATTTATAGCATTTTAAAATCTGAATTTGTATAAATATACAACCATTTTAATTATTTTCAATAAATTATTAGAATTTTGGAACATAATCGCAAACTTATTATTTCTGAAATAATTAAAATAATGTAAAAAAATATATATTATAATATTTTGGATATTCTAAAGAAGTCTGTTTTATCTCAAATATATTTAAGAATTTATATAAAAATTTATCAACTTATAAACTTTTGTTAGAATATAAATGACGTAGAACAAGTAAAATTTTTGTAATTATTTACATATATACAATATTCATATTTTTAAATACATTTTCTAGATGACATGTTTACGATACAAGATATAATAGAGGACAAACACAAACAAGAAAATCAAGAAAGAATAAAAAAGAATGGTTGTGTTATACAATGTTTGTTACAAAAAGAAGGAGTGGTAAGTGATATTTGTTATTATCCTTATAAAAGAATGCTTGAGTTACAAACTAATAAAACAGTATTTAGAACATAAGAATGTAATCTTTGTGTGTAATGTTATTATACAATAATGTTATATTATAATGCTATTAATATTTTATATGTTTTTCTTGTAAATATCAGATGGAAGGATCGGAATATGACGTAGAGAAAATGCATAGCAAGTTTACCAAAAGAACAAATGCTCCATCAGGTTCAAAAAAAGTTGAAACTCTAGATAACTGCATAAATGAAAGTAAGTTATATAATCACCTTTTAAATATAAGATTATTGACTTTGTGCAATAAAACTTTTTAGTGTTAATTTATTAAATAAATTACTAAATAATCATGCAATCAATTTATTTACATAGCTATTTAAACATTAGATATGAAAAAAAAGTGTAACATATGTTCTTAATTATTTATTATTTTTTAATTAGTTTTTTTTCTATTCTAGCAAAGGACCTCACAGAAAAATGCGACAAAAGCTTCGCTCTTACGGAATGTTTAGTGAAAGCTGAAGAGAGAGAAAAATCCAGGCATCTTCCAATTGAAAGATTGGGATAATCCATCCGAAAATTAACAGACGGATGTTTCTGATCTTTTATATCGAAAAAAAAAACTTCATCAGACCGAAGTGATATCCGACTAAAGTTATCCGATCCAAAAATTGAAAAACATTTGATCCAAGAAATCCGTTCGTTAATTTATAGACGGATGATCCAATTATATCTTATCCGATTATATTTTATCCTGAATATGGCTGATGACAAAAAACGAGACGTCTGTTATAGTCGTGGATGTAAAGCAAAGCAGAGAAAAACTTATGTTGTTATAAGGCTATCATACAACAGCCTTTTACGAATTACACTCGTATGCATTTTCGGGATAAGATAAAACTGCACATTTGCACATGATAGCTTTATAGTATAACTTTTATAGATAGTATAACTTTTCGGGACATTGTCTCATTTCTATTATAAGATTTCGGGATTATGACATTTCGGCACATTGTCACGTTTCTAAGATTTCGAGATTACGCCCTTTCGGCACATTGTCACGTTTCTTAAATATACGAGTTTTCAAAGTTCGGCACATTATTTTTCGGGACTTTGCATGTCCACCGTATTTTATATCCCACGCAAGTAACCTAATGTCGAGTTAAGACCAGTATATACCATACTTTGGTAATGTTGAAAATAATATTACAGAAATCTGTAATTTTATCTTACGTTACAACAATTTATGTAATATAATCAATTAGGAACAAACGACAACATACAAATAAATATTGTGAAAAATTCTTCCTTGATTATTTTCACCCAGAATAAAGACGTTTTCAAAAATGTCTTTCATTTAATGCTAAAAAAATTTATTCAAATATTTGATTGTGTGAGCGGATTGTGAATGCACAGGGAATTAAATAACCAAACGCTAGAATTAATAAAAATGCAACTAAGAGACCATATGTAGTTATGTAAGCAGTGAGCTAAATTAACAATTGCGGCCGATGATGCAAAGTTCGGACGTTTAACTCGGACTTAACTTTTTTAAATGGTTTAAAAATGTTCGCGAGAGATGTCAATACGTGACCTGTTTCGATGATCATAAAAATAATTAGCTGTTTAGCTGAGACACAGATTTGTCACAATAATAATCTCAAAAAATTACGCTCATCTTATCATTTCCATGTGTTCTTTAATGCGAAACATACTGTATCAGACATGATTAAATGATAAAAAGTTTTAGCATGTTGTTGCATACATAATGCAAGCCAGCGAGAAAGAAGAGCTATACGAATGCCGTTGTAGTTAACTCGGCGAGAAAGTCAGAGCGTCGAAAATGAGACAAACGACACTAAACAAATCTCGAGAAATACATTCATCTTATCATATTGTTATGTATCCTTATATCCTTTAATGCCAAATATATTCTCTCGAACAAGATTAGACGATAAAGAGTTACAGAATGCTGTTGCATAATGCATAGCCATGCAACGATTAATAAATTTTTATATATCTCAGCAACCACCTCACTACAGATATAAACATCATTCAAAAACGACATAAACTATTGTAATTAGCGCTAATGTGGTTGCAATATCATTAATAATACATCTGACATTAGAGAGGAAGCTGTGACAGCGTAAACGACGCTGCTTTGGAAGCAGGCCACTCGCTACTTAAAATAAACCTTTAAAAATCAGCAAAAACTTCAAAATATTTACGATAGACGTTGCCGTGCACGCCGCGCGCCGCGCGCCGGCATTCCCGGAATCGGTGATCTAGGTCAAGGCCAATTTAGAAAGTGGATCAATAATGTGACAACCGCCCGCCGCTCAAATAGGTCAAGGCCATGTGTCGCTGGCTTGACGCGAGAAAAAAAATCCTCCCTATCGTTTATCGCAAATATCTGAGCAACCACCAAAGATATAGAGATGATTCAAAAAGGACTGTTTAGTTTATACACTGCGTTATTGGAATATCTCAATTTTATTACTAACAATTACGTCCTTCTGTTTATTTAACATGATAAAGCACGCGAGTGCCGTAAAGATCGGGCGCCGAATGATTTCTGACTTTCATAAAACGCTTATATTTCAGCAACCGTAAATAATAGAAAAATGATTTAAAAAGGACTTTGTGCTTCGTACTTTGCCCTATTGGAATTACTCAATTATACTAAGTACTCGCAGTTATGTACTTTCGTTTATTAAAGCAATAAAGCGCGGAGCTGTCCAAAAGAATCGCGCGCCTCGCCATTCATCATTCTCATTAAACTTTTATATCTCGGCAATCGTAAAAGACAGACAGATGATTCAAAAAGCACTTTTTAGATCGTGCTCTACTCTATCAGAATTGCTCATTTTTATTCATTGGCAATTATTTATTTCCGTTTATTAAGACGAGAAAGCGCGCAAAATCTTAAGGATTCGGGCGCCAAGCGATTTTCTATTTTCATTAAACGCATCTCGGCAACCGTAAATGATAGAAAGATGATTAAAACAAGATTTTGTTCTTCGTACTTTGCCCTGTTGGTATTACTCAATTGTATTACTCGCAATTATGGACTTTTGTTTATTAAAGCGATAACAACAAAGCGACTTACAACATTTATTGTAAACCGGCCATTACAGCGCAGTCGGAAATGCCTGTGCACGACTACGTAAAACGTTAGTGGAGGATCTAGACAGCACTTCCGGCAAACAACGGAGCGGCATCTCAGTAACACGAAGCGACTTTGCAACAATACAGAACAGCGCGTTTCGCATACGGACCCGTGTATATCCAACATCGAGCTTAACGCTTAACTGCATCGTTCGTGCACGTCGAATGTATATACGAATTTACCACTTATTGTCAGCTTGACTATATAGGTTTTCGGTCATTTTTGCACTCCCTTTTCTTTCTTCCAGAAGGAGAGAGAAAAACCACTTTAATCTCACCCTTTCGCGATTCTATCACATAATATATATTCTCTCAAGCCTTACTAGACTGCGCGAAAGTTTCAAGAACTCGTAATTTTCAGAAATATCCGAAAATTCTCTGTACTTGGGTTTCAATTAGAAGATTAACGTACTATTTCTGAATTTTAAATAAAAAATTTTACTCAAATTTCTACTTTACTGTAGCTTATGCTGAGTAGTCAAAACATCGCAGTTTTTTATCAAAAGCATCAAAAGCTAATTATTATAAGATTCTCTCACTTATTTCGTAATGATTTTCAGGAGAATCGATTTTGATGGACGATCAGCAATAAATGTTATTAACTCTTTGCATCAATTTTGAAAGGATATGTAAACATAAAATTGAACGAAACAAGTATTGAAGTCTATATCAAAGATTGTATTCGTACCTTAATATTAGCGAATTCGGGCGCTTGCACTAGTGGACACTGAATGCGCACTAAGGCTTAATTGTTCTTAATCAATTTTTATATTTACAGATCATTTTAAATACTTCTTAATCTATAAAATGATTTGTACAGCATCTATATAAATATTACAGATTTTTTTTATTGGCTAAAAAGTTTTTAAATGTGTATTTAAGCGACTTTAAATATAAGAATAGATTATAAACAAGCCTTTTAGTGCGCACTCAGTGCACGCAGTCACCAGTGCAATTAAGCGACCGAATTCGCTATTAATATGTTTTATTGTTAGAGAAATTTGTAAGACATAGAACTCAATAATGGATTCGTCCATTCGTAAGCTAAAATGGGAATTAAAGCGAGCGATAATACAGCGAAATCCGCTTGCTGACTATAATTATGTGATATATATGTGTTTTCCTCTTGAATACAAAAGTTTTAGTCAAATTTAGTCTTTGTGAATTTATTATAGTTTTCTATAACAAGCGTCAAACATTTAGATGCATTCGTCGCCGTCGCCAGGGAGCTCTTCTCGGAATTCAAACGCTCGAGGATCACCTCATTATTTGAGCCAATCGCGTGTTTTCGTTATCGCGCGCGTATATAGTAATTTCGGCAAGTATGCCGCGCCCCGCGCGCCCTGCGCCCGGCCGCGCGAAGGAATGTAAATGTAAGGGGTGGAGGTGGGGGGAGAGTCCGCCCCGGACAGTTCCCAGCAGGACACCGCGCGATACGGCCGCGCGGGCCGCGACGTCGCGCCGCGACGTGGATCCTTTCGACCGCGATGTGATGTGTGTAATGTGGTGGACACGGTGTTCGCGAGTATCGCAATTAGAATAGCGGACATGGCCGCTTATCGCGAAAAGTGCGGATTCGTCGTCCAGCATGGTGTACGCGACGCTTGCGGAGTGCGGAGCCTGGAATATCGACCCGCGATCGAGGCCGGCGTTCGAGACAATTTTACATCGAAGGCATCCGAGTGCACATCGTGCCTCGCTTCTCCTGTAAGTACGCAACGCTTAATATTCGTTTGACGCGAGTAATTGCGCTCGTGAATGCGATCGCAATGTCGATGTCGTCCCGTCGAGAAGCTCGCGCGGTTTTCGTCGCGAGCGCGATACGTCCGCCATGTTTCCCGCCGGTGCCGTTTTCGTGGAAGACGATCGTCGCGGTCGTTTCTTTTCGAGTGACGGGACAAATATTATTTATAAGTACGCGAGCGTTACTTCTGTCGTAACTTACGATAATTTTTCCGCGTAAACGGGGATTGTTCAAAATCGATATTGGTACGTTAACTTTTTCTTCTTCCTCGTTTCCTGAATCTTTGTTTAAGACATTTTCGTTATTTTTTTTTTAACTTGCAGCTGAAAATGATAAAAAATATATTTTAAAAGAAATACCTATATACAGATTTTTCTAAACATTTTTACGTAAAATGTTAATATTTAATTATTTAAAGTATAAAAACTATTAAATTTAATATATAAATGTGTAAAAACTTAAATTAAATGTATAAAATTATTATTATAAATAATTTGGAAATTTAAGTTTGTCAATTATATTTTTAACATCATCCCTTCGTGTAAAGAAATTTTAAACACATTAATCGGATTTTAAATATTTTATTCAACTACAATACATTCAATGTTAATGGTTGTTAAGGATCGAACATAGCAATCTCGATGTAAGCATCGGGCCGCGAGGCTGACCCCTACGTGCCTGCCGTCAGTTTCGTGGCACGTATTCGATCCGGGGTTGTCGATCACGCCGCCCCGCGTGGTTGATCACGCGTCGATGCCGCCCCACGCACAGGTGCGAGCATGCCGGCGTTGTCGAGAATCGGAGCACGGCGCAACTCCGAACACGCAACAAGTGTCTTTGTTGGCGATAACTGCGCTCCTCGCGCAACGCCGTCAATCATCGGATCAATCAGAGAGCGCCGCGTTCCGGATCTCTCCCCCGTTTCCGTCTCTCGAGAATTCTCCCGGCGGAAGAGAACGGCCTCGTGGCAGACTCGTTTCGCACGTCTCCAAATCAAGTGATTTTGGCAAAACGGCAAATATTCTGTGTGCGTGGTTTCTCCACCGATTCATGCACGGCATTGCTGCCCAATAAGTTGTTAAAAGTGCGTGATTGTCAAGGAACACGAGACTTTCAACTTCGTATTTGAAATTTTATATGCGGTGTCTGCATAAAAATTTCCTACACTTTTATATTATTTTTAATACAGATTTTTTTAACAGTGCATATACTAAGTATTGGATTTTTAGCACTCGGGTGGGGAATCCGAACGCACCCCTGAATGGTGCTGGAATAAATCGCGCTCCGCTGACATTGCTATATGATGTCATTTTGTAGAATTTTACAATCTTAATTAATTTTATAATGTTTAACATTTCTTTTGTAATTCTCTAGCTCGAGAATTACAAAAGGAATTATTAATTTTAATTTTAAATTTGCAAAGTTTGATTATATGGTTTTAAGTTTTAATACTTGATAGGTAATCTAAACATTTAAAATTAATTAACCTCTGATAGCAAAGCATGAGTGTGCAAAATCATGCAAACGTGTTGCTGAAACTAATTTATGTAATATATATATATATATATATATAGAGATGTGTATATATATATATATATATATATATATATACACATCTCGATACACATATACAATAAAAAGTAATATAGAAATTAAAATTTGATTGGATGAATTAGTTTAATAATATGGATTTATAATATTTGTTATTATTTATTTTTGCAGTTGTTGGTATAGAGTTGGTAGAGCTGGATAACAAGGCACAAGTAGCACAGCTGCTGGGCGACAAAAAGAGCTCCACTAGACGTGGCTCGCGGTCCAGTCTGGCTAATATCGAACGTGAACAAAGTCACGAAGAGGTGAGTCTCTTTCTCTCTCGCGTTTGTCATTTTGACATAAAAATTAGCCGTATGCACTTTTGTATGCCATGCAGTAGTTGACATAAACATTTATAGCCGTCTACTATCCTTTTCTTCTTTTTTTTTCGTTTCGCCCCGTTGTCCGGCACAGCCTGATCTGACCGAATTCTGGCTGAATTTCATCGGCGACCGCACACGCACGCATTTGAATGCAATCGAACGCAGGCAAACAGTTCGCTGCCACTGGTGTAAAAGACGCTACACGAAGGACAGCGGCGAGCAGTGGCCACCACCAACATAACTAGTGCTAACCCGGGTTTAAAAGTAAGATTTTCCTAACGGCATTTATTCGTTATCTATATGGGCCAGGCGGATTCCGTTTTTCGTTTTTCGTTAGCTTCTATTCCGCTTTATCGCATCAAGTCCGTTTTCTTCAGCTGCGTATTCTGTATTTTTTTTTGTAACAGTTTTTATCTATCCTCTTTCCCTCTCGCGTTATTGGTCGTGTCGCGGAATAGAATCGAGTGCGTGATTGTCGTCGGGAATGTCGTGCCGCACGGTATGTATTCAAACGATTGACGCGCGTTGGACGTGTCTTTGCAAACAAATCTGTGCGAGCACATGAAGGAAGCGGCGTCGCGTCGGACGAATTGTAGTTTCACGAAATTGCATATTTCTCGCGTTATTCTTCCGTCTCGATACAATAAAGCTGCGCGTGTATAGAAAGACCGTCGTGATCGTGAGTGTCGTACACATAAAGTATCAAGTGATTCTTATATTCCAGCAATTGGTACGTGAGTGGCAACGAAGACAACGGTGAGGGCTGAGAGGAGGAGGTGGCCCGGGGGGCATCAGGCGCCGGCGAAACAACCATAGGTAAGTAATTTATTATTGTTAATTGCGGAACAATAATTCTCCGCAACGATTATACTGCCCATTCTGTATGATATTTTGCATTAACTTTTGTGAGACAAATTAAATATTTGATGATATTTAAATATTTATACAATATTTAAAATATTTAATAAAGTATTTGCGACATTATACATTAGTATTTGTAACAGTTCTTGAGCACTATTTTAATTTGTACAAATTCGTATGTTACAGATGAATATGCAGTTTCGACTTCGCTGTTGCGCATCAGTGTTGGTGAGTCGTTACCACGATTATAATCATTGCCATTTGCCATTTTCCTATATAATGAGACAACGATCGATCGAGCCTAGTTCGTATCTAATACGGGGGAAGGTTTTGCACATTATTATTTTTTTCACATTGCTTATTGTCTGTTCACAATAGCAGCCGCCAACGAATAATTCGCTTTCGTGTTTTTTTCTTCTTTTCTTTTCTCTTAATACACCCAATGCGGAAGCATCGTGGACGATGATAAGTATGTAAAGAACAATAAGAGGAAATGGCAAACAATTTCTCTACCTATTCCTAAATTAAAGAATTGGAAAGTTATAATTATATATAGGTACGAAATAAAATCTTATTAATATTCTTCTATCTATCTATTCTTTGCGAAATCTCGGCATGAGGATTGGTAGCCGCGACTACGAATTCCGTTACGTCTTTCGCGATGGCCAATTACGACACGTTTGTTAGGTACAATGGTTGTGTGCGACTGGTATCGTATACGTTATTTTTCATTTACCGCAAGCACGTGTCGCGTGATCGAGGAAGCGCAATACGCGCGGCACGCGCGTCTCCTTACGATTCGCTTCGATTAACACAGTCACGTTGATTTGGTTGATTGCATCTGCAATTCGTACAATAAAACCTCGGCCGATGACGGCTGAGTCGGGATATGGACTAGCTAGTTACATGAAAGACTTACACAAATAATATAATCGTAATAATAATCGTCAATCGGATTTTGTCCAAGAAGAAACGACTCCTATGCAGCTCGTTACTTCCTCGACGTATAACTTGCGCATTCAAGGATGCTGTTTCTTTCTGAAGCGGGTGGATGAATTTTATTGAAAGCATAATCAGTTGTAGCGACTTAATTCTTTCCGTTGGAGTTAGTGGTGTGTTGCAACAATTGCAATACTAATAAAGCAATTGCGATCGTTTTGAACGATTCAAAATTATGCATTGTAATGATTATTAAGATGACCTGAAAATTCGTTTATTAAATTATATTTTAAATAGAATTGTTCAGAAGAATTGAGTAATTTATTTCTCGATTGAAAGAATGTATTAAAGCTAACAATAATTGTTAGGTTTTATATTTAGGCAGAACGGCAGGCGAATTAAAGAAGTTTAAAAGTACTTACATACATTAACTGCTTTGAAATTTTAAATATTTATAAATGTTTGGTTTTTGGTTGGTATTTGATATATCACACGCGTAAAGGAAGATTTTGGTGTATTATTCTGTGATGGTGCAATAATCATAGGTCTGTAATGTTTGATACAAAAGTGTTTGAAAGTCAATCATTCTATGCATAAGTGTTTGAAACTCAAATGCTTTTCTAATTGTTTGATAAGTTAAACATTTTTTCTACTTTAATGTTTATAATTTAAACTGCAGTTATGATAAACTTATTTTTAGAGTGTATCTATTACAATTGCGCTATAATTTTGACACAAAGATTTTAATTTTTCTGATGCTGATATTGGCATCACTACTATCACGCGTATATTAAGTTATTTTTCCAAAATATAATAAAAACTGTGCAAAACTGCCGCACGAGGTAGTAATTATATATTTATTTTCATGTTGTTTAATTTTTGGAGAGTATAGGTCTATAATACTTTCCGATCTATTAATGTATGTTACATTTTTCTTTCACTTTTTACATAAATTTTATCAAAACCAATTTTGTTTAAGTTTATCCGCTTTAGGTCTACTATTGGAAATTCCGTAGGTCTTGTTCGTATTTGCCCTAATGCATTTTCTAATTTCTTAATTGACATTTTATATTTCAAATAAAGAATTTAGTCGACCTGACTGGCCAAATTTATTAATTACAAAAACGATGTTTTGACAATTATTTCGTATCTTTGCATATTTATCGTATTTCTTAATGAAAAACATCAGCTATCTCTTTTTCTATAGCGTTTTTCACTGTGTAGCACTTTTGACTTAAACCAATTAAAATCGTGCCCATTTGAAAGACGGTGTCTGCTTACTATACTGATTGGCTATTCTCGTGTTTTCTAATATCTAAACGAAGTTTATTAATACGCGTCTTTAAGTGTCTCTTGGTTTGTTCTATAAAATAGGCATTGCAATCGTTGCAACTGATTTTATACACAATTTCAGTCTTCTTAATATTATCAAGTACATCGTTTCCTCTTTTGATTTCTTTTGAAAAGTTCTAGAGTTTTTGATAAGTAAAAAATTCCAAAACCTTTTAGAATTGTTTTAAAAAATCATCAAAACTTACGCAAATGACGTTTACGGCAGACCTTCGAAGTCGAATATCTTCTTAACTAATGACTGGATCGTTTTCAATCATAGAAATTCCTTTCAGAATTCTTAGAGTTTTACGCGTTGCATTCTCGAAGTCGAATATCTTCTTAACTAGCCATTAAGAAGTTAATATATTATGTCTTGCTCAACATTTAGAAATTAAGTTAAAAGTACCAATACCCGGACATGTACCTATATTTAGACACCTTTATTATTTATGAGTAAAACGTGAATTAAAATCAAAGATAAAAATATTTTTTTTTGTAGTTTGAAACTTTAGTTATGATATCCAAACGTTTATTTCTATAAATTCATATTTTTTAAAGGTATCCAGACAATAGATACGCGTCCAGGCATTGGTACATTTACCTACTCTTAAGTGTCCGGGTATTAGTACCTTTATACCTTAATTAGATTTGAAAATTAAATAATTTTTCTCCACATGAGCCGAAATAATTAATAAGATTCTTTTTTCTATTTTATGGAAAATAAAGATAATCTTTATATTTTACAAATTTAGATTTTGTATTAGACATAATGATTAAATGTCTAATACAAAATCTAAATTTGTTCGAATTTTTATTAGAGAATTCGTTAATTTGTATAGACAATTAAAATTAAATCCATATAATTAATTGTATCTTTAAGCTTATCGGTTAAATGAGTTTTGATAAACGATAGCATTTATCTTGTGTTTTTACTAAATCTAGAGTTTATTGGTACCTACAGTATATGATGATTAATAGTTCACAAAAGAGTACTTTTTAATGAAAAGTAGATTACACCGGATATACTGAATAGTCCGAGCTTGTGAAAATATCGTTTTGTTAATGATACCACGTAAATATAATTTTCAAAAAAGGCAAAAAAAGGCGCCAAGTACACATTTATAATTACATTAATGATACGCGAGATTCACTTACGTGTACAAGCTAAACGTCTATTGTTTTCTATTTTCTATACATTGAGTATAATTATGTATTTTTTTTTATATTTAAAGGCGCACATTATGTCATCGGTTAAAGTTCGACCGAAACAGTCGTTTATTATAAGTTTTAATACGATATCGTAACACGCGATTTGGAGTGAAAACGTGAGTTTTCGTTACCGCAGAGAGAGAAAAAGAAAAAAATCTCGAGATTCCTCGTGTACGTGAATTTTTACGTAAATTTAACATTGTAATGATTTAACGCATTTTTATTTTTTTTGATACTTCAGCAAAACCGTTCTTTCCGTATGTGTAGATTAAAAGCGTGCATTTCCATGATGCGTGAATAAGAAACTCTGCAAGTCTCTGGCTTTCGTTTGCGCTTCACAAAATCGAATTTTGTACTCGTAGTATCTAAAAATTTAGCTAGATAAAGATCTAAAAATAATTTTGTTGGTCCATCAAAATAATTATGTAGAACTTAAACTGATTGCTAAAATGTCAAATTTTTTTACAGAATTATCATATTTCAGCGACTTACTATAATTATTTTAATGGTGTAACAAAATTATTTTCAGATGTGTATATTTAGCTAAATTTTTAGATACTTTAGCAAAACCGTTCTTTCCGTGTACATTTTTTTATCAGGGTCTAAATATCGCTAATATATATCACTAATGTAAAATGTACATAAAAGAAGCCAGTTGTTGCCATTTGTACACACATTAATCTAATAATTTTTTCGTCTGAACGTTGTTGGAACATTAGAGAATCATTAGAGAATCTTAATATCTCGAGTTCGACTGATCGAGATTCAGCGGAAAGGCAAATATGTATAATATATGAGAAGCTTGAAGAAGTGCAGGATGTATCTACTGAGATTACCCGGAAAAGGAACAGACAGTATCTGAACATTTTTAATCCTTTAGGGGCCTGTGTACATAATTATGTACTAAACAAAAAACAAAAAACTAAAAAAATTAAAAAAGAACTAAAAAACTTTTATCAGGGACGTCTTTTAAGACTATACCTTATAAATTATAACATTTTACTCCAACGGGATCGATGTGTGGCCCCTAAAGGGTTAAAGAAAGAGAAAGTTATGACAAATAGATTAACAACGCGTAATGAATTAATATTTATTTTAACTGGCTTAGTAGATTAGTGTGATTATGGCATTTAAAATTGTCATGTGAACGTTATTTGTTACCTTATATATTACCTTTTGTGAATCGCGGCAGAAAGGACAAAAGGTTTATGGACTCATGATTGTCTCATATGTTGGCGCCGAACGACCGACAACACATATAGTTCGCCTAGTTTCGGCGGATTGCACTGATCTCGTTTTGTGGTAGGTCACTGGTAGATGAGAACCGGCTGTCTCAGTTCCATTCTAAAACTGCACGTGATTTTGACGTTCGTTCTGACCATTTCCGTGTTTGCCTTATACCTTACACCGACGGTGTCGGAGAAGAAACGTCGATCATCAGAGATGTTTCTTCAGGATCCAAACAACGCACTGATGCTACTGGAACTAAATATGCAACTGCCATCGCCACTCGATCGCTCTACAACGCAAATTAGGTGAGAGGATGAACTCAAGCGAATGGGTCTGCTTAATCGAAACCTCTGGCAGCAATTCTACGAGAATAATACAGAAATGATAATTACTAAGAGCGGTCGGCGCATGTTCCCGTCCGTTCAAATAAACGTAAACGGTTTGGAGAAACGTGAGAATTATTATGTCCTCATGGAGATAGCACCGACCTCCGATCGCCGCCACAAGTACTGTGGATACCAGAACGGGGCCGAGAACAGCAATATGGGTGGCTGGAGTTTTGCAGGGCCGGCAGAGCCGCAACAGTCCTTCGGCTATAGGATTTATAAGCATCCCGAAAGTCTGGCAACGGGGAGCCACTGGATGGACAATCCGATTAGCTTCAATAAATTGAAGCTCACGAACAACATCAACGACCTCAATAATAACGTGGTATTAACATCGATGCACAAATACGTTCCTAGGATCTGGATAGTCCGTTGCTTTGATGCAAAGAACTACAACGAGCTCTACTCATTCAACCGCGTTGTTCGCTTTCAAGAAGACGGAATTTATCGCGGTGACGGCATACCAAAACGAGAACATCACGAAGTTGAAGATCAATAACAATCCATTCGCGAAGGGTTTTCGCGAGATGGGTCAGTCACGGTTCAAGCGAAAGCATTATTCGATCGATCATCAGGCTCAATCGGATTCCAGTTTCGACAAAAGGGTCTCATTGATCTACGACTCCGAATCGAATCAGCCGAACGACCCTCCCTTAAGGGTTCCAAGCCCATTAAAGCATGCGATCATCTTTTACTTTAGCCGGGGAGTCGAAGTTGGCCGGCCTTGCCACGTGGGAGAAGCGGACGCGAATCCCGCCACCGTTGCGAGTCGATCCCCGGCGCCGGGCGTGCTTGAAACGCAGTGTCCGTGCACTGCGTTTGACACAGATGGATATCCATTCACGAAATAACTTATTACTATTTATTTATATTTTAATT